GTGCTGCTCCTCGCCATCCTTCATCCAGCTGACGACGATGGGCCGCGGGTAGAAGCCGTGAGCACGGCAGGACAAGGTCAGGATCCCGTCGGCCTCCTTCCCCCACACTCGCACCTCGGGCCGCTCTGCAGACAGGCAGCAGTGAGGGCTGAGCTGAACTCCCAACGCTGAGCCCCCGCCCCACCTCCAGCCCCACACCGTAGCCCCCCCCCACTCACCTCTCCTGCCCAGCTCTGCCTTCCCATGTTCCATGTATCTCTGCAGCCACTGCACACAGTCTTTCTCCAGGTACTGCTTCAACCCCTCAGCAACGCTCCCATCGTCCTCCCATTTCCTCTTGGTGGGAACTGCCTCTGGAACTGCTGCAGTGAACGTCTTCCTGTCTTTATCGAAGGCAATGAAGTCTCTCCCATCATACGCCACCTGATGATACCCCCGGGTGGTGCCGTCCTCAAGAATGGCACAGCCCGACATCCGCTGCAGTGTGTGAGACCCTGAAACACAGCGGGCAGGGGGTGAGCGGCCCCTTCGGCTCCGGGGTCCCACTGCAGTGGGGAAGGGTTGAGGTCCCCCGGGAAGCAGCACCCCGAGCTCGGTGGGGCTGTGACGGGCAGCCCCGGGACGGTGCCGCCGGGCAGGGCCAGGCCTGGGGGGCGCGGGCGGCACTGCGCCATGGAGCCCCGCCCCGCACCCACGGAGCCGCGGCCCCGGCCGTGCTCACCGCCGCTCTGGTTGTAGCGTTCCTGCAGCGTGTTCAGGCTCACGCGGTAAGCCTGCTCATTCCTCTGTCCGACCTTCGTCTGTCCGTCCCAGTACTGCTGGTCCATGTTGGCCGCCATCCACTCGGTGCGGGGCACGTCCCTCCGCGTATTGTTGTCATAGTGCACGAAGATCTCGCCGTCCACGTACCCCACAGACACGAACCAGGGCAGCCCGGGGCCGGGATCCGTCATCGCGGTGTGGATGTACCGCAGGGAGTGTGGCTCTGCAGGGCCGGAGCGCAGCGGGGCCGTGAGCCGTGGGTGGGGGTCCCACGGGCACAGCCCCGGGCCGGGGTTACGGGCAGAGAGGGGTCCCGATCCGGCCGCACTCACCGCCCGCCGTCCCGCACATGGAGCCGAGCAGCAGGAGCCCCCAGCCCAGGGCCCCTCACGGCCCCATTGCTGCGCACCGCTCCGTTCCTCCAGGTTCCGCGACACCCCTATGCCCCACAGTGCGCCCCCATTGGTTCCTCCGCCTCCCCCCCGCCAATGGCGGACGGTAGCGTGTGTGACGTCACCGGGCGCCAGGCAGAATGTGTTCCCGCCGGTCGTGAAGCGAAAGCGAAAGCGCGGAGCGGGGGAGGGGACGGGCGCGGTGTGGGAACCCCCCGGGCCCCCGGACACCGAGCGGCCACCAGGGTTGTGTCCCAATGGGGCCGTGTCCCTGATCCGGGGGAGGGGTCCGAGGGCTTTTGTAGGGGGCCAGGGGGCGGTGGGAAGGGAAGGAGCCGTCAGTCAGAGCACGGCCGGTGGGCTGCGATGATCCCCCCGGGTGTGGGGTGCACGGAGCGCTCCTTCCAGCACGGAGCCGTTGGACTCGGAGAGGCACAGAGGGCGGAGGAATCCTCTGGGATCACCACTCCGACCCTGAGTCAATGGCTCCTCCCAGTTCAGTGTTGTCCCCTGCTTAATTAGGGTGACTCATGACCTATATCCAGGTCACTTACGGAGGCACTGAGCAGAACTGGACCTAAAACACAGACCCCACAAGCACCCGGACATCTCCCCATGCACAGTGTCACTCACTGTCACCACCATGGATGCAATGACCCCAACTCAACCTCTCCCCAGTGACATCATCCTGTCCCAGTAAACTCACAGAGACACCAACAGAGGCTGCAGTGTCTTTAATGTCAGCACCACGGCTCAGGGTCAGGGATGGGGACACGCAGGGACAGTGGGTGACAGAAGGTGTCCATCAGATGCTGCCTGCGGGGACATGGGTGAGAGATGGGGTCACTCAGCCCTTATTGATGGCAATGGGACAGGGACAGGTTGGGGACACTTACCTGAAGGGTAGTTGTGACCGGGAAGCGGGGTGTAACCTAAAAGTGGGGGAATAGGAGGGGTGAGTGGGGCTCTTGTCACAGATGGTCACATCCCATAGAGACCCATATGACCCACAGAGAACACATAGAGATCCATAGGGACACACAGAGACCAATAGAGACCTCACAGAGGCCCCACAGCAACCCATAGGGATCAACAGAGACCCCACAGCAACCCACAGGGACCCATAGAGAAAAGTAACATCCACAGCAACCCATAGAGACCCATAGGAACCCCACAGAGACCCCTCAGAGGTCCATGGAGCCCCTCAGGTCCCTCTCAAGCACCCACCTGGGGCAGGGGGCTGGGCCCGCCAGCAGTAGACACCAATGAGGAGCAAGCCAAGCCCCAGCACCATCACAACAGTGGCCACAGCCACCATCAGCGTCACCTCCAGTGTCAGCCCAGGACCTGCAGGGACACAGCCAGCAGTGACACAGCAGGGACACCACTGTCCCCGTGTCACCCCGTCGACCCCAACTCACGCCAGTCCTCCAGGAGGGGCTCCTCCAGGCTGGCATGCTGCACTGAGCACGTGTATGTGTCCCCCACCTCCGGGGCCACTGAAAGGGCCACCTGTGTCTGGTAGGTCCAGTTCCCATTGGGGATGGCAGACATGGGCGAGTGGTCTCCGGGCCCCACGATGTCCCCATTGTGCAGCCAGATGATGGTCACCTCAGGGGGGTAGAAGCCCCACACGTGGCAGGTGAGGCGGATGGGCACGCTGGGGTTCCCTGTCTGTGCAGGGACGATGCGGACCTGGGGCTGAGCTGGAGCGGGGACAGGAATGGTGAGCAGCAGGAGATGTGGACGTTCCCTGCCCCATTATCTGCAATGTTCCCTCTGTGCAACGCCCCATGCAACACACTGTGCAACTTCCCCATCTCGCTTCCCTGTAGGATTCCCTGTGCAATGCTCTGTGCCACATCCCCATGGAATGCCCCCACACTCTGTGCAAGCTCTGTGCATTGTCTGCTGCAATACCTCGTGGGATGTCCTCTGCAACAGCACTGTGCCACAGCCTGGGAGATGCCCGGTGCATTCCTCTGTGCAGTGCACAATGTGCAATGCAATGTGCTCTGTAAAACTACCCTACAATGCGCCATGCAACATCTCCTTGCAGCAAACTCCATGCAACACACCAAGCAATATTCTGTGCAACTTTTCCTTGCAGCATCCCCATGCTTAGTACCCTTAAGCAATGCCCCATGCAGAATGTTCTGCAAAGCCCCCATGCAATCCTCCATACAACATCCCCATGCATTAAGCTTTGCAGCACCCTTTGCAATCTTCTATACGTGCATGTGCATATGCTTCGCAACACCCCTGTGCAATTCTCCATGCAACTTTTCCATGCAACACCCCCCTGCTTGAGAACCCCAAGCAACACTCCATGCATCACCCCCATGCAATGCCCCATGCAATGTCTCCATGCAACAACATCCCCATACAACACCCCATGCATCACTGCTATGCAACATCCTCATGCAACGTCCCCATGCAACGTCCCATGCAACACCATCTCCATGCAACACCATCTTCATGCAACACCATCTCCATGCAACACCATCTCCATGCAACACCATCTCCATGCAACAGCCCCACTTGCAATGCTCACTCCTCCGCAGTGCTGTCTGTGCCCAGAACTGTGCAGCCAGTTTGCTGCACGCCCGTCTCCGCGCCTCTGCGCGCTGCACCCAGGTGCTGTCATTGTTGAGGGCACTGGCAATCCGTCCAGCCACGTCATGCAGCAGCCCCCAATCACAGGCGTTGAAGCGGCGGATGTCCGGGTCGTAGCACACCAGGGGATTCTTGTTGAAGGCCACGGTGAGCTCAAAGTCCAGCAGAGAGCCGTTGGCCGCCAGCGGGCAGGAACTGGCCATGTGCACCATGAAGGCACCTGCACTGGGGGGACAGCAGGGAGATGGCAGTGACCCCATCCCCATTTGGAGCCCCCAAAGGTCCCCGTGTGGACACAACAGTAAGCTGAGCTCAACACTGGGATCACATGAGATCCCTAGAGCCCTCCCTGGGAATCCTAAGGGTTGAGACTCCCTGAAGTGGCCCCAATATCCCACAGAGCTGAGCTCCCGACAAAGTGCTCCACCATCCCATAAGGTTGAGTAGTCCCAAATCATCCCTAGCAACCCAAAAGGCTGAGTCCCCCCCATCACCCCAAAATCCTCCCTTGAGTTCCAAAGCACTGAGATCCCACAAATTGCCCCCAATATCCCTTAGAGCTGAGTCCCCCTCCAAACTGTGCACAACATCACAACATCCCATAAAGTTGAGACTGTCCCCCAAAAGGACCCCATTATCCCAAAAGGCTGAGCCCACCCTAAAGCCCTCCCTGGGGGTCCTAAGAGCTGAGACCATCCCACGCCCCCAAAGTGGCCCCAATATCCCAAAAGTTGAGACCCCCACAAATCATCCCCAACGTCCTATAAGGCTGAGACCCCCAATGCCCCCCCCCCCCCACGATGCCATTAAGCAGAGCCCCCCCAAGCCCCTACCATGATCCCACAGAGCAGAATCCCCCCAGAACCCCCCCAGAGTCCCGTAAAGTAGAGGCCCTCCAAGTCCCTCCCCACAATCCCATAAAGCAGAGACCCCCCACGCCCCTCCACCAGAGCCTCATTAAGCAGAGCCCCCCCAACCACCCCAACCCCCACCTGCCCCCCGCGCTCCCAGCAGCAGCCCCAACAGCACCAACATCGCGGAGGGGGGAGCGGGGGGCAGTTGGGGGGCGGCCCCTCTGCTCCCTCCACCCCACATCCCCCCCCTTCACGGATGTGGGGCGGGGGGGGGGCACTGAGAGCCAATCAGAGGCGGTGTCGCGGCAGTGTCATCTGTTACCGGAGCAGAATGAAGCGAAGCCGACGCTTAGGGGACATAGACGGCTGGGAGCACTGGGAGCACTGGGAGCCCCATCCACCCAACGTGGGAACGAAGAATTAGAGCGAGGTTGGGGCTGCAGATGGTTTTATTGGGGGGTGAGAGCCCCTCATCCCAAACTGGGGGTCCCCATGCTGGGACATGGGAGTTCCGGTCATTGAGATTCCCAAACTGGGGAGCAGGACCAGGATGGGGACCAGGACTGGGACTGGCATCGGGATGGAGACCGGGACCAGGATCAGGGATAGGGACCAGGAGCAGAGCCAGGACCGGGACCAGGACTGGGATGGGGACCAGGACCAGGATGGGGATCGGAAGCAGAATGGGGTCCAGGACTGGGATGGGGACCAGAACCAGAATGAGGACCAGGACTGAGATGGGGACCAGAACTTGGACAGGGATCATTTTGAGGACCAGGATTGGAATCAGAACCCGCATCAGGATGGGGACTGGGACCAGCACCAGGACCTGCCACACAGAAGATGATGAATGAGGAGGGACACCCCACACTGGACAACAGATCCTTGGTGTCCACACGTCCCCAGCACCGTGTCCCCATCCCTCACCCTGTGGCCGCTGACAGAAGCTGAAAACCCCAGCGCTGAATGCCACCAACCCCAAGGTCAGCGCCATTGCTGCCACTGCCACCTGTACCATCATCCCCAGAGACAAATTGGGACCTGTGGGAACAGAGTGGGCAAAATGAGCCATGGGGGACTGTGGGGTGCGGGTGCCACATCCCCGTCCCCAAACTCACTCCAGTTCACCTGCAGCGGCTGCTCCAGGCTGGAGTGCCACACTGAGCATGTGTAGGTGCTCCCTGCTGCAGTGCTGGCCCTCAGGGTCGTCTGTGTCCTGTATGTCCAGTCCCCATTGGGCAGCAGTTTGGTGTCATCTGAGGCCACCACAAGGCCGTTTTGCAGCCACTGGATGGTCACTGCAGGTGGGTAGAAGCCCCAGACGTGGCAGATGAGGCGGACGGTGTCAGGGTCATTGGAGATGGGGATGGGGACGATGCGGACCTGGGGTGGTGCTGCAGAAAAGGGGGGATGGAGAGAGCTGGTGACGGTCCCCTTTGTCACCCTTCAGGGTGGTTGGTGGGACAGTCCATGCAATGTCCCTGTGCATCATACAGGTGCATCACCCTATGCCACATCCCCATGCAATGTCCCCATGCAACGTCCCTTTGCATTCCCTTTGCAGTGTCCCCATGCAATGCCCCCTAGAACGCCCCGTGCCATGTCCCCTTGTGATGCCCCCTTGCGTTTCCCTGTGCAAAGTCCCTCTCAATTCCTCATGCAATGACCCCATGCTGCATTCTCATTCAATGTCTCTGTGCATTCCCCATGCAAATTTCTTGTGTGGATCCCCTGCAATGCTCTGTGCAAAGTCCCTTTGCAATCTCTACTCAATTTCTTTGGAATATCCCCAAGCAATGTCCCATTCAACCCCTGTGTGATGTCCCCATACAATTCCCTTTGCAACATTCCCATGCAGTGTCTCATGCAATGCCCAGCTGTGCATCACCCCACTGCAACACCCCCATGCAACAAATCCCTTGCAATGCCCCCCGTTTGCAATGCTCCACTTGCATGCAGCAGTGCTCACTCTTGCGCAGTGCTGTGTGTGCCCAGAACTGTGCAGCCAGCTCAGTGCACGCCTGTCTGCGCGCCTCTGCACGCTGCACCCACGTGGCATTATTATTTAGCATGATGGCGAGCCAAGTGGCAACATCGTACAGCCACCCCCTGTCACAGGGGTAGAAGCCATGGGCGTCGGGGTCGTAGCACACCAGGGGGTTCTTGTTGAAGGCCACGGTGAGCTCGAAGCCTCCCAGGGAGCCATTGGCTGTCAGCGGGCAGGAGCTGGCCATGTGCACCACGAAGGCGCCTGCGTTGGGGACACAGGGTGGGCACAGCACTGGGGCTGCACCCCAAAGCCCTGTGCTGCACCCTAAAACCCCATGGTGTACCCCAAAAACCCCATGTTGTACCCTAAAAGCTCACAGTGCACCCCAGAAATCCCATGCTGTACCCAAAAAACTCACACTGCACCCCAAGAACCCCACATTGTACCCTAAAAACTCACACTGCACCCAGGAACCCCACATTGCGCATTATGAATACATGCAGCAGCCCATGCTGCACTCCAAAGCCCCACGCTGTATCCTAAAATCCCATGTTGCACCCTAAAAATTCATACTGCACCCCCAAACCCACGTTGCACCCCAAAAACCCCACTTTGCACCCAAAAAACTCACGCTCCACCCCAAAACCCCCCACACTTCACTGCCAAACCCACATGTTGCACCCTAAAACCCCCATGCTTTACCCCAAAAACCCCACGCTGCCCCACATCCTACCTGCTGCCCCGCAGCTCAGCGCCAGCCCCATCGCCCCCAGCACCCCAAAACCCGTCGGCCCCATCGGGAGCATTGCAGCCTTCATCCCCTCCGTCCCTCCTCCTCCTCCTCCTCCCCCCCACGTCACCCCATGGGCGGTGCAATGGGATCAGACTTTGTCACCTGGGGCCGTGGGGACAACGCCCAACCCCATTAATTACCACCCTTCCCGGAGGAGCGGAGACAAATGAGGACAACACCGTGCTGCAAATGAAGGGCTTTAATTACATCACTGCCACCGTTCCCAAGCCGAGGGATCAACATATGGAGGATATCAATGAGTATGGGGTGAATGTCCCCGCTGTCCCCATTGTCCCCACGTACTGCCCCGGCGGGCGGAGAGCAGCAGCCCCAAACCCAGCAGTGCCAGCAGGATGCCCAGCGCCGTCACCGCGCCGCACACCGCCATGGCCAACACGTCTGAAGGGATGGGGTCCTGGGGCACTGCGGGGACACAAAGCATTGCTCCCACCACTCACACCCCAATCAGCCACCGCTGCGGGGACACAAAGCATCGTCCCTGCGTCCCCACTCACCCCAGTAAGCCACCACAGAGATGTTGTCCCTCTCACGGGTGACAATGCAGGAGTAGATCTCACCAGAGTGAGGTGTCACCGCCAGGTAGGAGAAGCGCATGAAGCCCAGGTCCTCCATGGGAATGTACGTGAGGTGAGTGATGCCATCGGTGACGGGGATGCCGTCCCGCTGCCAGCTAATGGTGATGGCTGGGGGGAAGATGTTGCCCACCATACAGACCAGGGTGTTGGGATAGCCCAGTTGCAGTGGCTGCTGCAGGAAGACATCAGCCACCGGGATGCCTGCAGGAGGACACATCAATGGGGACACATCAGTGTAGATGCATCAGTGGGAACACATCAGTGGGAATGCATTAATGGGGGATGCATCACTGGGGACAGCATCATATTGGGGAAACATCATTGGGGATGCACCACTGGGGATAGCATCAACTGGGGATACATCAGTGAAGTCATACTGGTGGGGACACGTCACTGGAGACAGCATGGACTGGGGACACATCAGCGAGGACACATCGTTGGGGACAGCATCAATTGGGACATCTATTGGGAACACACATCACTGGGGAGACATCCTTGGGGACAGCATCGATTGGGATGTCCATTGGAGACAGCATCAACGGGGACAGCATTACAGGAGATAGCATAAATGGGGATGTCCACTGGGGACACATCAATGGGGATGGTATCAATGGAGATGTCCATGGGGAATAAATCAAAGGGGACAGGATCAACTGGGGATGTCCATTGGGGATGCATCAATGGGGACAGGATCAGTGAAGACAGCATCAACTGGGGATGTCCACTGGGAACACATCAGTGGGAATGAATGAATCAAGATAACTTCAACAAGAACTTCATCAGTTGGGGATGTCTACTGGGGACAGCATCACTGGGAACAGGATCAACTGGGGATGTCCATTGAGAACACATCAGTGGGGATAGCGTCAGTAGGGATGTCCATGGGGGATGCATCAATGAGGATGCATCAACTGGGGATGTCCACTGGGGTCAGCATCATTGGGAACGCGTGGCTGGGGACCATCAGCAAGGTCATAGTGGGGACAGCAGCACCCACCCTTGGCTTCAGGCATTGGCCGTGGCCCAGTGGCGAGCCAGGTGAGCTCATCGTGCAGCTTGCGGCACAGCATGGTGTCATGCTGCAGCTCCTGGGGCTGCTCGGTGCCCGTGGGCCACGCGGGGCCATCGGGGAGCTGCGACAGCCACTGCATGTTGGGGACATCGAATGAGAAGAGCTGCTCCGAGTCGAAGGCCACTGACAGCCCCAGTGATGGCGTGTCTGGCTGGCAGAAGAGCACCTCGGACAGAGTGTGCAGCGATGGCTCTGCAGGCAAGGACAGGAATGGGACACGGGGACACACCAGGCACACACACACACTGTGCACAGACACGTCTGCTGCATGCACACTCACTGCATGTGTACACACTCTGCATGCTGAGTGCACTTCAACTCGTGCATGCTTACACTTCCTCTTGCACCAATGCACCAACCACCCTTTGCACAACCTCTGCACTAACTAGTGCGCTCATCCTCCTGCTCAGATACTCCATGCACTAATGCACAAAGCACTCCATACACAGCCCCTTGCACCAGTGCACGTCCACTTCTTGCACCAATGCACAGAAGCCCTTGCACAAATGCACGCCTGTTTGCACTCCTCCCTTACACTAAAGCACAATGCATTCTTTGCACAGTCTCTTGAACTAGTAGTGCATGGCACCTCTTTCACTCCATTTCTCACACTCAACCCTGCTGCACTAATGCACCAACCACACCATGCACAGCCCCCTGCATGCGTGCAAGCACCCTCCTGCTCATCCTCCCCTTGTATCAATGCGCAAACACCCCTTGCACAACTCCTTGCACCAGTGCATGCCTACCCTTACTCCAGTGCACGATCCACTCCTTGCACAGCCCCTTGCGCTCCCCATACACGCATCTTGGACACCTCTGGCACTACCCCATGCCCACCCTATGCCCCCGCCTCTCCCTACCGGCTCTGACGCTCCCCAGGGCCGCCCCCAGCAGCGCTGCCACGAGCGCCCCGCGCCCGCTCGCAGCCCCCATCCCTCAGCTACCGGCAATCAGTTCAGCCAATGGCCGTATCAGGTGGCTCTATGCGTCAGCGGTTGCTAGGCAGAAGAAGGCAGCAGGACACTCGTGCGCGTCATCGGTTGCTAGGCAGAACAGATCCACGGGGAACACCAGCGCTGTGACAGGCGGCGATCGTGCGGCTCAACCAATGGCCGCGCTCCGCAATTACCTTGCGTCACTTGTTGCTAGGTAGAAGAAACTAGCGGGGAGCCCCGACGCTGTAATAGGCGCTGAACCACCCGCGAGCAATTAATAAGCACCGCTAATTAATGATGGAGAGGACGAGTGGGCTGCGTAGATCTCTGGGGTGTCTCATCACAGCGCGGATGTTGCTTTTGCGAGGGATTTTGAGAGAAAAGCCTGAGGTTTGATGGTAAAAACGTGTTTTGTAAAACTACGTATTTGGGGGATAAAAGCGTGGGATTTGGAGGGGTAAAAGTTGGGGTTTGGAGCCGAGGGGACATACTCGGGGCGTGTACTCCACTCCCTGCAGCAGTAGCTGCTCGCACTGCAATGCACCGCACTGCAATGCGCCCTCCCAGCTGGAATCGCTGCACCGCAGTCAGGTTTGCACAGCCCTACGGGCGAGATCAGCCCTCTGCAGTGCCGGCAGCTGCACCCCTGCAATGCCATACGCATCCCTGAGTGCATCCTTGCAATGCCAGGCACTGCTATCGGCGCACCCTTGCGATCCCAAGCACCCCCATTGGTGCACCCCCGCAATGCCATGCATCCCCACACTTGCACGCATGCAATGCCAGGCACACCCATAGGTGCGCCCTTGCAATGCTGTGCACTCCCACAGATACACCTTTGCAATGCCATTCACCTCCACAGCTGCACCCTTTGCAATGATATACGCGTCCAGAGGTGCACCCTTGCAACGCCGGGCACTCCCATAGGTGTACCCTTGCAATACCACGGGCCCCTACAGATGCACACTTACAATGCCGTGAATCTTCATGGCTGCAATCTTGCAACGCCATGCAACCCCACCGCAGCACCCCAGCAGCACTGCGCACACCCAGAGCCCCACCCCTCCCTCCTACCCCACATGCCCCCTGCACTGCGCATGCGCCCCATCACCCCCCTTGGAGCGGCGATAGGACCCCGCGGAGTCGCCCGGACTCCATGAATGGGGCCGTCGGAGTGGCGCGGGAGTATCACGTGACGGCAGGCGGCCAATCGCGGCGCAGCTGACGTAGCGCGTGGCTCCTTTTTCTGCCCTGGGATGTTTTTTTTGATTTTTTGCCCCAAAAACGGGGCTTTAAGGGGGCGACGAGAGGATGATATCGGGTCGGGGGTCGTGGCCCCCCGTGGGAGCGGCTCAGGTGAGTGAGGATGGGACAACTTCGCCCTTTTTTTATGATTTTATTTTATTTTTTTAACCAAAAAGACCCAATGGGGGGGGGAGGACACGTGAGCACGAGCTGTCCATCAAACCTTGTTCCGCCCCTCCGCCATCGAAGGAACCAATGGGAGGCGAGGCCGACGGGCAGACGACCAATGGGCGGCGCCGCTTTGTGCGCGGCGCTTTTGGGGCGAAAAGCGCCATGTTTGGGTGTTCGCGCGGGGGCGGCGGCGGGGAGGGCCCGCGGGGATCCAAAGTGCTGTGTCACGGGGCGGGGGGGGGCGGCACCGGGGAGCGCCGTGGGGGGACCCCAAAGCCTTGTTGGGGTCCGGGATGGCTGTGGGGGGGTCTTTGAGGGCCTTTGGCGTGTGGGGCCGCAGGGGCTTGGGGTGGGGAGGAAAAGGGGGGTCTGTGGTCACGCGTGAGCTGGGGAGGTCGTTGGCAGCCTGAGGTTGCGCGGGGGGTTGCATTGAGCACACGCAGATTTGTTTTAAGGTGTTGGGGTGTCCGTAGGGTATCCAGGAGTGCTTTGGGGGGGAGCGTGCGGTGGCACTGAGCAACTCCGGATTGGGTTGGGGGCTTCGGAGAGGCAATGGGGCACCCCGGGATTGGCTGCGGGGTAGCATTGAGTTTCTCAGGATTAGTGATCGTGAGGACCCCGAGGTCGGCGTGGGGTGGCTGTGGGGTGGCATTGAGCACCCTGAGATCGGCGTGGGGTCGCCTCGAGGACCCCAGGATTGCTGTGTGGGAGCTCTGAGAGCCTCGAAATTGCTGTGGGGTGGCACTGAGCCCCCAAGATTGCCACGGGGGGAGGCAGCGGAGCCCCCTGTGCTATGGGGTGGCCTTGAGAAACTAAAGACTCCTACGGAGGGGCTGTGGAACGTCTCAGGATCGCTGTGGGGTGGTTCTGAGGACCGTAGAACCGGTGTGCGTGTGTGTAGAGGGGGGGGGGGTTGAGACCTCCGGCGTTGGTGTGGGGCAGCCTTGAGATTGGTTTGAGGGGGGGAGGCTTTGACGGTCCCAGTTGTTGTGGGGTGGTATTGAGGCCCCCCGAACTGCTGCAGGGTTGCTTTGGAGTAGCTGCGAGCCCTCCAGGGTTGCAGTGGGGAGGAGGGGCACGGAGCACCTCAGAATAGCCATGGGGTGGCCTCGACCCCCCCGGATCGCTGTGGGAGCGGGAGAGGGGACGGTCTGAGGACCCCATGACCACTGTGGGGTAGTACTGAACCCCCCAGGACAGCGCTGAGGGTCGCGATTACCTCAGGACCCCTCAGGATCCCCGGGGCCCGGCTCACCGCCTCACCACAGCTCAGCCCGCGGCTCACGGACCGCCGCAGCTCCGCTACTCGATGGCCGCTGCCGGCTGAGAGAGCCCCACCGAGCCCCGTAGGGAGGAGTGGGGTCCGCTGAGCCCCCTGAAGAGCCTTTTGGTGGAGGGTCTGAGCCCCCGGGACGCCCGCGCCCGTTGGCCGCCGCCACACAAAATGGCGGCGCCCGCCTCAGCCCTCCCCCTCCCTCTGCACCTTCGCGCGCGACAACAACAGCCAACAGCGCCGCCCTCACGTGGTCCGCGGTGGCCAATCGCCGCGCCGGGAATGTCAGCACTGACCAATGACAGTCCTAGTGCCGTGCGGAAGGGCGGGGGGGAGCGGCGCGGGTGAGTGGCGTGTGGGGCGGCCAAGAGGAGCGCTGCGCGGTGAGCACCGTCGCCCAATGAGGCAGCGGCGGGGCGGGTGCAAGCGGGTGGCTGACGTCAGCGCGTCCGCCCACCAATCAGCATCCAGGTGGTGTCTATATAAGGGCGGCCGGGGGCAGGCCGAGCGGCGCCATTTCGTGGGGACGAAGGGACGGTGCGGGTCGGGCTCGGCGCGCGCTGGGGGGCGGCCCCAATCCGCCTCCATCCTCCACCGGGCGGGCCCAGCCCCCGCCTTCGCGCTCCCGGACGGCTCCACCGGACCCTCCCCGGCCTCCGTAGCGACCCCTGCCTGCGGCCGCCGGCACCGATCCCTCTTCGGGGCCTACGAGCCAAGATGGAGCCCTCCCGCTGAACCATCCGCCTCCATCCGCCCTCCGCCCGCCTTCCATCCGCCTCACGCCGCCCTTCTGAGGATCCCTCCGGCTCCCAGCGGCGTTACCGGCCCTATATCGGCGGCGTCGCGGCGGGTTCCGAGCGCAGCGGAGAGCAGGAAGGTCCCCCCTCTCCATCCAGGCCCCGCCGCCATTTTCTCCGCTGATGTGAGGGCGCGCGGCGGGGCCCGGCCGGAGCCGCCGCCTCATGCCCGGCCGAGGGCCGCTGCCTTAACGGGCGCTGCTCGGTGGGCAAAGTGGGGGGGACGTCGGAGGAGGCGGCGGCGGGAGGAGGAGGAGGTGGAGGAGGAAGGCCGGGAGCCAGGGCCGGGCACGCAGCCGCCGGCATGCTGCAGAATGTGAATCCCCAGAGCAAGTAGGTGATGGGGGGCAGGAATGGGGGGCTGTGGGGGGTTGGCAGTTATGGACGGGGGTGGCAGCGCTGTGGGGCTGCTGTGTCCCAATATTCCACCTGGGGCCGATCACATCTCGTTTGCCTGCCGGTTGTCCTCGTTTATGTGCTCCTCATCCCCGTGGATCGATTGCTTGGGGACGGAGACGTGGCAGCCCCGCAGTCCCCGTGGATCCTGATGGGGACCTGGATCTTACAGGGCTATCGCTGTTTGTCTGCTCTCTGTCCCCATCGATTCTTTGGGGTCAGGGACACAGGGACTCAGTCCTACGGGGAATCCATCAGTCTCTCTGTCCCCATAGTTCCAACAGGGGCATGGGGACCTGAATCCTAAGGGGAGATGAGGCTGAGGTGTCCAAAATCTCTGCACCTGATATCAGTTGTATCCCATTGAGATGCTGCTTGTCCCTATTTATTCATTCCTTGTACATATGGGTTCTTTAGGGACTGGGACATGGTGACCTGGCACCCTTTAGGGACCCGCCGTTCCTTCCAATTTACCCAACAAGCTGCTTTTGGGGCTGTGGATCCTACAGGGGACCTGGCAGCCTGCTGTCCCTATGGATCCTAACAGGGACGTGGGGAGGTGCATAGTACAGAGTCATCCCGATAGATCTTCTGGGGACAGGGACATGAAGCCCTGAATCCTAGAGTGCATCCGACACTGCCATCCCCATGGATTCTTTGAGGACAGGGCATGGGACCCAGATCCTAAAGAGCCATCCCTATTTATCTGTTTCCCATCCCCGTGGATCCTTTGGGGTCAGGGATATAGGGTTACAATGGCTCCCTGCTGCTGCCTCTTCATTGCCTGGGGATTGGGGTGCGGTGTGGACCTCCACCAGAGGTACGGGGCTTTTGTGTCACAGAGCTCTGAATTTGGGGTCACACAATCCCATTTATCTGCTGCTTGTTCCCATTTATCCACTTCCCATTCTTGTGGATCCTTCAGGGACGTGGGGACCCAGCAGCCCTGCAGTCCATATGGATTCTGTCAGGGACACAGGGGCACGGATCCTACAGGAACCTGGCAGCTTTGCTTTCCTCATGGATCCTGCCTGGGCAACCCCCATTTATCTACTCCTCACCCATCTGGTCCTTGGGGTCAGCATCACAAAGGCCTGGCAGCCTTTAGTGCCCTGCTGATTGAGCTGCTTTTGGGAGCACTGTCCCCACACTGAGGGTCCTGCCACCCTATAACACTGCTGCTGGGGTTGCTGCGTCCTTCTGTCACCTTCCTCCCTTGTCATTCCCACCACGTCCTTGGCAGGACGGGGAACACCCTGGGAGCTGTCTGAGAAAGCAGCCCCAGTGCTCGACATTCCCCATGTTTTCCTAGCGATAGATTCTCATGCTGCAGATATCCCACATCTCCCAGCTGCTTAAATCATTTTCCCACTTAAACTCTGCACCCATTACCAAACATTTGGTGTCCACTGTTGTGTTTCCAGTTTAGGGTCTGAGTGGGTGCTGCCTTGTCATGCTGTAGTGCAGGCTGTTCTACCCTGGGGAGGTGAAACTGCTGTGCACCGATGTCACCCCCTGCACCACCTCTTTGTTTCCTCTCACCTTCTTTTTATTATTTTTTTCCTGTTTTTTGAGCCGTTTTTGTGCACCTTGGTGGTGGAACGCTGGCCCCATCCCCGCTGATGATGTCTTTTGCTCCCTTGCAGGATTCTGGGGGAGGGAAATGCTGGGCTTATGGGTTTGGCAACGGAATCGACCCCGGGCAAACGCATCCGCAAACCCTCGCTGCTTTACGAGGGCTTCGAGAGCCCCACCATGGCCTCGGTGCCGGCCCTGCAGACCCCCCAGGCAAACCCCCCTCCGCCAGAGGTCTCGAACCCCAAAAAGCCCGGCCGGGTCACCAACCAGCTGCAGTACCTGCACAAAGTGGTGATGAAAGCCCTGTGGAAGCACCAGTTCGCTTGGCCTTTCCGTCAGCCCGTCGACGCCGTCAAGCTGGGTCTGCCGGTAATGTGCCCCCTCCTGTGGGTCCCCCAGCATGGCTGTGTGTCCCCAAATTTGTCCCCTGGGTGCTGAGGGCCACCCCGAGCCATGGTCCCCAGCCTGAGAGTGCCACAGGGACGGTGTTGTCCCCTCTATGGGCTCCACCACAGAGATGCAGCTGCAGGTGCCTGGGCTGTGCTGGCCTCGCCCTCTCTTAGGGGCGTAATCCCAACCCCACGGGCTCTGAAGCCCCCCCCAGTAGGTGACCTGATGTCCTCAGAGCTGCTGTCCCCTCCCAGTGCCACCGCACGGGTATGGCTGAGGTGACGCAGCTGCTCTAGAGGGAACCTGGACGTTTCCTCACCTAATCTCTTGTGCCCTGAATGCGTTTTGCAGATTCCCATCCATGAATTTGTAGAAGACATCTTGTGACCCCAATATTAAACGCCAGCCCCCCGTGCACCTGTGGCGCCCAAGGATTTAAAGCCCAGAGGTAAATTCCACATAGGTTTGCTCTTACTTTAGCGTTAGCGGCCCCATTGCACCTCGTGCTGCGGACAGTGGTGTTTTGGCTGTCCCCATAGCGTAGGCACCCCACAAGAGCACCTGAAGGTCCCTACAGAGCAGCACGGTGGCACTCTCGGGTGGGGACCAGACCCGGAGGTGTTTTTGCATCCCTTTGCACCCCTTTGCCCTGCTTTTGATGCATGGTGCGAGAGCGGATCTGTGTGCGTGTCAACATCCTGATGCTTTTTGGGATGTTGAGCTTCTAAAAACCCCAACCAACCACTTCTGGGGCCGGGAGGGGTGTGGTGTGGTCACCAATATGGCTCTGACTGTCCCTCCATCCCCTTTGCAGGATTACCACAAGATCATCAAGCAGCCCATGGACATGGGGACAATCAAGCGGCGCTTGGAGAACAACTACTACTGGGGGGCAGCTGAGTGCATGCAGGACTTCAACACCATGTTCACCAACTGCTACATCTACAACAAGGTGAGGGCTGTGGCATGGATTCTTTGGGGTCTGCGATGCCATCTCTGCATCCTGTAACATTTTGGTTGTCCCCGTAGCCCACAGATGACATCGTGCTGATGGCCCAAACCCTGGAGAAGATCTTCCTGCAGAAGGTAGCCCAGATGCCACCAGAAGAGCAGGAGATTGTGGTCCCAGTGGCCAAGAACAGCCACAAGAAAGGAGCATCACGGGCAGCAGGTACCTGGGGTTCTTTGGGTTGCACTTCAGGTGGAGCACTGAAGGTACTTTGGTGCTAATGGGGGTTCTGCCTGTCTGCAGCGCTCCTCGCAGGCCTCACAGCTGCTCAGCAAGTGCCAGCTGTCTCCTCTGTGTCCCACACTGCTGTGTACACCCCGAGCCCTGACATTGCCACCACCATCGTCAACATTCCCCACCCGTCCGTCATCTCCGCTCCGCTCCTCAAATCACTGCACTCCGCTGCCCCGGCCGTGCTGGCTGCACCTGCGCCCACCCAACCCGTGGCCAAGGTGGGAGATGGGAGCTCTTTGCTCACGGGAGGAGGCTCTGTGGGCTGTGCTAGGCCTCGCACTCATCAACCTTTCTATATTTTGGTAGAAAAAGGGTGTGAAGCGGAAAGCAGACACCACCACCCCCACCACCACTGCCATCATCGCCACCAGCGGCGAATCCTCCCCGTCAGCCACGCTGCTGGAGGCCAAGGCGGCCAAAATCCCTGCACGGCGCGAGAGTGGCCGCCCCATCAAACCCCCCAAGAAGGACTTGCCGGATTCCCAGCAGCACCAGACCTCCAAAAAGGGCAAATTGTCAGAGCAGCTCAAATACTGCAATGGCATCCTGAAGGAGCTGCTCTCCAAGAAGCACGCTGCCTACGCATGGCCCTTCTACAAGCCAGTCGATGCCTCGGCGCTGGGGCTGCACGATTACCACGAGATCATCAAACACCCCATGGACCTCAGCACCATCAAGGTTCGCTCAGGGACCCCGTGGGTGTTGGCACAGCCTCGTGGGGGCTTTGTGGGGATGGCTGCTCACCCCCTTCCCTCCCCACAGCGGAAGATGGAGAACCGGGACTACCATGACGCACAGGAGTTTGCTGCTGACGTCCGGTTAATGTTCTCCAACTGCTACAAATACAACCCACCTGACCACGACGTGGTGGCCATGGCCCGCAAGCTGCAGGTGGGTGCGGTCACCCAGCAACCCCAGGAACCCCTAGCCCACCCAGCTCACCCCTCTGTGTCCTCTCTCTCAGGACGTCTTTGAGTTCAGCTACGCCAAGATGCCCGACGAGCCGCAGGACGCCAGCCCGCCCTCGGTGTCTGCCCCGCTGCTTGGAGCCCTCTCCAAATCCTCTTCCGAGGAATCCTCCAGCGATGAGGATGATGAAGATGAAGACGATGAGGATGATGATGAGGATGAGAGCAGCAGCGAGAGCTCATCGGAGAGCGAGGAGAGCTCTGACTCAGAGGAGGAACGTGCCAACCGCCTGGCAGAGCTGCAAGAGCAGGTGAGGACTGGAGCCGGGCCAGTGCTGCTGCCTGTGCCCGCTCCCCATGCCCGCCTCACCCCCTGTCTCCCCCCACAGCTGCGGGCCGTGCACGAGCAGCTGGCTGCCCTCTCACAGGGCCCCGTTTCCAAACCCAAAAAGAAGCGGGAGAAAAAGAAAAAGAAGAAATCAGAGAAGCACAAAGGGAGAGGAGGAGACGAGGAGAGCCGGGCGCGTCAGGCGCAGCTCCGCAAAGCCAAGAAGGGCGGCGGCGGGGGGAGCGGCGGGGGCAGTTCCAAGTGAGTGTAGGCTGTTTTTTGGGGGATGGTGGTCGGCTGTGGGGTGATTCCTGACGTTCATTTTCCTGATGGTGCTTTGCTTCCTGCAGGAACTCAAAGAAAGCAGCAAAAGCCGCGCTGCCGCCTCCACCCGCTCTCTATGATTCAGAGGAGGAAGAGGAGAGCAAACCGATGACGTACGATGAGAAGAGGCAGCTGAGTCTGGACATCAACAAACTGCCTGGGGAGAAGCTGGGCCGTGTGGTGCACATCATCCAGTCCCGGGAGCCCTCCCTGCGTGATTCCAACCCCGAGGAGATCGAGATTGACTTCGAGACCCTCAAACCCTCCACGCTGCGTGAGCTGGAGCGCTATGTGCTGTCCTGCCTGCGGAAGAAACCCCGCAAACCCTACAGTGAGAGTGAGTGGAGGGCTGCGTTCAGGAGGGGGCGGCCCTGGGGGGGAGGTGGGACAGAGTGGGGCTGAACCCAACCTCTCACAGCCATGAAGAAGCCGGTGGGGAAGACGAAAGAGGAACTGGCACTGGAGAAGAAGCGAGAGCTGGAGAAACGGCTGCAGGATGTCAGTGGGCAGCTCAACTCTGCCAAGAAACCCCCCAAAAAGGGTGAGTGTGGGGACTGGGATGGGATTGGGGTGCGATCCATAGTGGTGCTGAGCACTTTTCTGTCTCATTGCAGCCAACGAGAAGCCCGAGTCAGCGCAGCAGGTGGCCGTTTCGCGGCTCAGCGCCTCCAGCTCCAGCTCCGACTCCAGCAGCTCCAGCTCCAGCTCCTCATCCTCGGACACCAGCGACTCGGATTCGGGTTAAACCCCACAGCACCACATGGGGTGACATCCCGAGCGGCTCTGCAGGACCGGGCTGGCGTGGAGCAGACTGAGAGCCCCCCAACAGCCCAGGGGACACCCCATGGACTCAGCTGGGGTCCTGGTGTGACCGGAGGCCCCTGAGCATCCCCAGGGCAGTGTGGGGCTGTGGGGTCGGACAAGGGGGGGGTCAGCAGTGCCCCCCAGCAGGTTTTACTGTTTGTTGTGTTAGGGTTGGCTTTTTTTTTTTTTCTTTCTCCTGACTTCTGGGATTTTTTCCAAAACAAAGGGGGGGAGAAAAAGGTTTGGGGTTTTTAAGAAAAATTTAAAAAAAGAGAAAAAATTAAAAATAAAAAATAAAAAAAAAAGCATTTAAAGAAGGAAAACCACACAGTGAGGGGCTCTGCACCCCACCCCATTGTATTTGGAGGTTTTAATTTATTGGAGCTGCCCGGCCCCTGTACATAAAATCCCCCCCGGCACGCAGCGCCGCATGTTCCCACTGGGGGAGGGAGGGCCACCCCTTTTTTACGTTGACTGTATAATTTTTTTCTACTCGTTTTGGGTTTCCCCCCCCCCTTTTTTTCTTTTCCCTTCTTTCACCCTCCTGCCCCACTGTTAGACCCTTAGAGCCGTGTTTTCATCTTACTGTATGTTTCCAACCTTTCAATTCTTTAACATGTAAATAAAGAAAATATTATTCGAGTTGAGCCGGGCTGTGGCTGTGTGTCCTCTGCTGGGTGACAGATGACGTGGTGACAAATGACACAGCATCACTGCGTGGGCTGTCGCCACCCTGTGCTTGTAGGGACAGATCCAGGGCCCCATGTCTGTGTCCCCACACCACTGGTGGTGGCTTTGGGTTATCCATAGGGGTGGGCTGTGTGGTGAATAGGGAGAGATGAGGGAGGGAACATGAGGGGGCCCTGGGGGAACATGGGGTGACCACCGAGGAACCCCGGAGGTAACAGAACGTGGGGTGACCAAAAGGTGATAGTGGTGTGACCATGGAGTCTATATGAGGGCCATTGGGTGGCTATCAGCTCCCTATGGGTGGAATTGACCACCAAGATTGAGTCCAACCCGACCCTATGCCCACCACTCCATGTCTCGTAGGACCAATAGGGCGCTGGGTTCGCTTCCCCACGAAACTTTCACTTCCCTCCCCCCACGCAACGGAAAGTCCCCAATGGTTCACGGGCAGCGAAAGCGGCGTCAAAGTCAGCGCGTTTATTAGGATGGGGACAAAACGTGCATCGTGGTGACAGCTCGAGGGGACGCAATGGCAGCCCGAGGGAGAGCCGAGGACGCGGTCGGGGATGCAGGGGCTGCGGGTGGAGCGGCACGGCGAGGCAGCAGCTAATTCAGCATCCCTGCGGGGAGAGACGGGCAGAGCTGAGCCCCGCGCCGGGCTCGGGAACGGGAACGGAATGGGATCGGAAAGGGAAGGGGAATGGGAACGGAACGGAACGGAACGGAACGGGACGTTACCTGGAGCGGCGGCGACGGGGCGCCCTGAAACACAGCGACACCAGGTCAGCGCGGCCGCAGCCCCCTCCCCGCCTCCAGCCTCCCCCCGCCCCGGCGCAGCCCCGGTCCCCAGCGCTCACCTTTGTGACCGCGCAGGAACACGACGAGCCCCAGCGCCAGGAAGACGAGCCCCAGCACGAAGCCCCCCACGCCCGTCAGCAGCTTGCTCCTGCCCGCGTCCGCCGGCGGCTCTGCGGGGACGAAGGCGGGGGCTCAGCGCCGGGGGCCGCGCTCCCGCTCCCGCTCCCCCCGCGGCGGGGCAGCGGCCGGGGGCCTTACCCCAAGGCTGGCTGACGGGCTGCCGCAGGCTGGCGTGCTCCACCCGGCACACGTAGCTGTCCCCGCGCCGCGGGACGGCCTCCAGCACCACCAGCACCTGGTACGTCCAGTCCCCGTTCTGCATCACGTCCGTGGACACCACGCGCTCCGTCTCCTCGCGCCCGTTGTGGAACCACTTCACCTCGATCTCCGGCGGGTAGAAGCCCGTCACGTAGCACGCCAGGCGGTCCGTTTCGGGCAGGGAGCCCGACTGCAGCGCCGACACCCTCACCTTGGGCTCCACTGCGGGGCACGGGGGCAGCGCTGCGGACCGACCGCCAGAGCGCGGCGCGAGCCCGGCCGTCCGCGCTGTGCCCCGCGGCACTCACCGCTCCTCTGCACCGTGAAGGACTCCCCAACCTCGTAGTTGTGCCGGCAGACCGTGTCCACTTCATTCATTCGTTGCTCCAGTAACGCGGTGTTGTTGTTCCGGTATTCAGCTTGCAGCTCACCCAGTGGTGTATCGGCCACGTATTTCCCCACGTCGCTGTCGAAGTGCGCGTACTGCTGCCGGTTGTAGATTTGCCTGTCCAGAAGCCTCACCTGCTGGGTGCCGTTCACGAAGTGGCACTCAGCTATCATACCGTAGAGGAAGAACGCTGCGGGCAGAGGGCACGGTCAGGGCTCACAGCCGCCCCCCGACAGATCCCCCGCCTATCCCCGGCCCCGCTGCCCCCCACAGCTGTTCTGCCCCCCCCGCCCTCCACCCCCCCGGAGCCCCGAGCGCCGCGCACGTCCAGCAGGGCTCCGGGGGTTTCTCCGGGGCGGACGCAGCGCCGTCCCCGCGCCGCGGCTCCGAGCTCACCCGAGGGCCGCGTGCCGGCGGCCGGCCGGGCTCCCAGCGCCAGCAGTGCCACCAGCACGGCCCCCGCCGCCGGGACGCGCCCGCTCCCCATGGCTGCTGCCGCCGGACGATGGGGGACCCGGCACCCCGTGCCAGTCGCGAGCCCGGGGCCGGGCGGGGAGGGCCAATGAGCGGCGTCGGCGCCGGGCGGCGTCACCCGTCTCCAGGCAGAGTTCGGCGCCGCGGGGCTCCCTCCGACACACTGCCCCGTCGTGACCCCTTCGCTGCTCTCTTCCGTACAACGTTCCCCCCATTGCACCTCTGTGCTTCCCACGTGTGCGTCATTCGGTCTGCCCACCATCACACCACGTTCTCCCCATATCCCCCCGAGGGTTCACCGATGGTTACATCTCAGTTATGTCACGTTCCCAGGTGTCCTCACTGTCATCCAGATGCCTCCATGAGTTTGGAAATGACCACCACAGTGTCACCCAGATGTCAACATGTGATGGGACCTGATCATCCCTGATGGCATCCCCATGTCCAACTCAGGATGGGATCCCAATGTCACCCAATCCCATCCCAGTGTCACACAGATGTTCACAGGGGATGGCACCCAGATGTCCCCAGTGCCACTCAGCTGCCTCACCAACTCAAGACTTCCTCCCAGTACTCCCAGTGCTCTCAGTTTGCCCCCAGTTCCCTCCCCCCCACACCCAGATCTGGTTTGTGGGGACACCACCACACAGAGACAGAACATTTTTGGGTGAAAAACTCTTTATTCAGAGCTGAAGTGCTGAGAGCTGGAGTGGAGGTCACTGTGATTTCTGCAAGGCATTGGAATGAGAATGGTGAGTTTTGGGGTGTTTGGAGGTATTTTAGGGGTATTTTGTTTTTTGGGGGGGATGTTACCTTGGTTTCCTCTTCGGGTCGTGCAGCTGAGAGGAGAGAAAGAGTGAGTGGATGGGGACATGAGGGAATATGGAGACATGGGGGATGTGGGAGGACATGGGGACACTTGGCATCATTAGGATATTGGGACATAACGACATTGCTCATGGGGACATTGGGATATTGGGGTGTGAGGATGTGGGGGCTTTGGGATATGGGAACAGCACTCACCTGTAGGGTAGAGCCAACGGATGAGGCCACAAAGGATAAAAGCCACTAAGAAGAGCCCCGTGATGTCCTCCAGGTGTGGCCCCTCTGTGCCTTTGGGGACAACGACAGCCTGAAGCATGCTGTCACCACCCTGGGTGGGGTCTCCAGCCCTGGGGCTGTGGTCCCCAACCCAAATCCATGCATCTCTTCTTGTCCCAAGCCATGGTCCTGATGTCCCTGTGACACTCCTAACCATTGTCCCAATGTCTCTTGATGTCCCCAACCTCAGTTCCAGTGTCCCTTGGTGTCCCCAGCCATGATCTCAATGTCCCTTAGACCCACCTAACCATGCTCCCACCATCCCAATACCTCCACATGTCTCCAGCATCCCCACATCCCCCCTCACCAGCCAGGAGCAGTCGGACGGAGACGCGCATTGGTTTGGCCAGTGCAGTGTGGGTGACAACACAGCTGTAGACGTCCCCGTGGTGCTGGGGACGTGCAGGGATCAGCCGTGCTGCCGCCGTCCGGCTGTAGGTTCCATCAGCAGCCTGGCGGTGACCCGATGTCCAGCTGTCCATCACTGTGTCCCTGGGTGATCGCGATGGCCCTGAGCCCCCCGCGCGGTGCTGCCACGTCACTGTCACATCCAAGGGGTAGAAGCCAGACACGTGGCACTGCAGCTCTGCTGATGTCCCTGGGGTCACCACCAGGTTCTTTGGGGACAGCGTCACCTTGGGGGGCTCTGGAAGACATGTGGGGGAATGTTGGTTCCACATAGCCCATAGGGATCCATCCTATAGGGCTCATCCCCCCCAGTAAACCTATTGGTGGACTATGGGATGATGCCACCCCATCCTATAGGAATCATCATCCCATGTACCATTCCATACCATCCCATGTACCATACCATACCACACCACACCACACCACACCACACCACACCACACCACACCACACCACACCATACCATCACCCTATAGGATATATCATCATATCATCCTATAGGAATCACATCCCATAGGAATACCACCCAGCCCCATCCACCCTGTAGCCGACATAGGAATACCACCTGGTCCCATATGTCCTATATGACCAATAGGAATACCACCTGGCTTTACACACCCCATAGGAACACCACCCAACCCCACACCCTATAGGAACACCTCCAGCCCCACGTGGACTCACCAAAGACATCGAGCTGCAGCACCGTCTGCGTGTGCCCATGGGGCAGGAACACGGAGCAGATGTAGGTGCCCTCATCCCCCGGTGATGGCCTCACCAGGCGCAGCGTCACCGCCGTCACTCCGTCCCCATCCCGTGTCCCCAGCAGCAGTTCGGCCCCGGGGGTGGTGCGGGGGGCGCGGGCGGTGGAACTGTCATAGGCCAGCAGGACCCGACCCGCACCCCTGCTTTGGTGACGCCACTCAAGGATAAAGGGGGACGGGGGGGCGGCAAAGGCGCAGTGCAGGTGGGTGGGAGACCCCACACGGACCCGGAGTGTTGGGGTGTTGGTGAGCACCGCCAGGGACACTGCGGGGACATGGGGAGGTGAGGGGACATGGAGACACTGAAGGACATGGGGAGATGAGGGGACATGGGGATATTGGGAGATGTGGGACATGGGAACACTGGGGGACATGGAGAGGTGAGGGGACATGGGGAGGTGAGGGGACATGGGGATACTGGGGGATGTGGGGAGGTAAGGGGACACTGGGACGTTGGAGGACATGAGGTGAGTGGACATGAGGTGAGTGGACATGGGGATACTGGGAGACATGGAGACATTGAGGGGACATGGGGACACATGGAGAACATGGGGACGCATGGGTATTATAGGGATGCATGGAGACATTGGGACACATGGGGACACACTGAGGGATGGATAGGGACATGGGGACACCCAGGGACGGACATCCGAGGCCTCCCCCTTACCGGCAGCAGTGATGGTGCCTTCTGTGCCTGTCCCCCCCTGCAGCAGCGCAGTGGCACTGTACTGGGGGGTCCCCACTGCCGCCACCCACCACTGCCCTCCCGCGGCTTGGGGACTGCGGGCGTCAGGGTGCAGAGGGCGGCTCCATGGGGCAGAGACGGTCTGGGGGTTCGTGGGGTTCAGTTCACAGCTGGGGGGAGCCCGGGGGGGGACCCCAAGTGGGGTCAGAGCCCCCCAGGGGTCTGCGGGAGAGAGAGAGGTGAGAGGGAAGAAGGGGTCTGGAGGCATGGAGTTGGGGGAGTTATGTGGTCATTTGGGGGTTAATGGGGACATCGGGGACAGTTTGGGAGCTATTGGGGTTAATGGGGTCTCTGAGGGGGACATTGGGGACATTTGGGGGGGTAATTGGGATATTGGGGGTAATGGGAATCTTGGGGACTTTGGGAGACGTGGGGGGGTAATGGGGATTCTGGGGACAGTGGTGACAATTTGGGGATGATAAGGACCATAGGGACATGGAGGAGCAACAGGGACCTTGGGAACATTGGGGTGATGGGGACACTGGGGAACATGGGGGACATTTTGGAGATAATGGGGATATGGGGAGTAATGGGAATCTTGGGGACACCGGGGGACATGAGGGGATTATAGGGACCGG